TAAATTTTTGGTAATTTCTTAATAAATTAATTTAAATTTAACTAGTTGATGAGTTCATCAAAAAGAGGGCTGTTTTTAATATAATGAAGTAATGAGATACATTTTTTTTTTAAATTTTAATTAAATCCGTTTAAATAATCTTAAATTAAATAATTCAAAAGCAAGTCTAATTAAGCAAATTGAAGAAAAATAAAAAAGGAAACAATGATTTGTATGGTTGTAATTCATAATGAAATATGTTAAAATGATTTAATTTTTTTATCAATAAACCCCCTCCAATATTAGATTAATTGGATAAGAAATTGAGAAAACTAACTGAAATATATATAAAAAAGAAAATCAAATCATTAATTATGCAAAGATCATAAACAAGAGGAATGAATCTATCAATAATTGAACTCAATTTTAGTATAAATAAAAATATTCATATAAAACAATTATATTCTATATTATTAAAAAATCAAGTAGTGTAGTTGTTGAAATAAATTCTTAATTACATCATTTACATCTATTACAATTAATTTCAATCTACACAAAGTCCTAACTTCTATTTTGCAAAAATACACAAGATACTTTTATCGATTTTGCTTTATATAATTACAAGTTAGAGTAAAAGAAATCAATTTTATTTTTTCAAAAAAAATGAATTGCATTCATCATGTTAGGAATTCTATATCAATGATATGTTTAGCTCCTCATAAGTGTTCATGCTTAAGGAAACTTTGTGTTGAATGCCTTTATGAACATGAAGTAGATATCAAAAAACATACAATACCAATTACTAATTTCTAAGAAAGGATTCTAAAAAAATTAAAAGAATCCAAGCTTGAGGAGACATCGGAGTTAAACAATTAGAGGATGGCTTTTAAATAGTTACTCTCTCAAAGTGAATAAATGTTGAAGAAAATTTTGGAGGAATTGTCACAATTAATCAACTAAATATATGATTGGATTGAACAGGAAAACTAATCATACTTAAACTTTATCAACAAAAATAGTGATCTAGCTTAAACTTCCTCCACTGACTTAGAAAAATTAGTAAACATTGTCGAAGGAACAACTTTAAATGATTTTAATGCTTACAAGAGTTCGTATATGAAGGAGTTAGATTAGACCAAGAATTGGTGGGACCAGCTTATTAACACATTTATTGAAAAGTCTATCCAAGGAATCCAAAAGATAGAATCATTAATTAAGTAAGTATTATATATCTTATCTCTAGGGAAGATGAAGAAGAAGTTTATTAAATGAAGGAAGATCTTTATGAGATGCTAACCTACATCCAGGATATTGATGAAACTATCTATAAAAAGGTTTTTGAAATTTTTAATAGAGAGAAAGTTTCAGACATTTTAGGATTCCTTTCGTAGACAAAAGATCAGAAGTTTTATGAATATTTAGTCAACAAGTAGGAGAATATAAAGGATATCAAATAGTAAGTAAAGAAAATCACAAATGTCTTGAGGAATATTTAAAATCATTAATTTAGTAAGGACAACTACTCCTCAGAGACTTATGAAAAGGCAAGATAAAATTTAATAAAGATGATGAAGAATAATAAAGGAGTCATAGATTTCATCATGTTTTTAGTTCACCTCACAAGCATAGAAGGTAAATTTATTCAATGTGGATCGAATGCATTAAATTTATTAGTAGGTATGAAGGTAGATATTAAGAACCAATCATTTTAGAATATCAGAATCAAGAATACATCTTTAATTGGAGCTAATTTGGTTAGATGCAACTTGAGTGGATCTGAGTTTGATAATGTAGATATTAGTGGATTAAATTTGAATGGCACTTAAATGTTTAATTGTAAATGGAAGGATTTAAAAATACATGAATTGAATAAATTAGATGGTCAAAGTAGTTGCATAAGATCAGTTTGTATTTCACCTGATGGAAATACTTTATCATCAGGTAGTGAAGATAAGTCCATTTGTCTTTGGGATGTTAAAACAGGACATTAAAAAGCCAAATTTGATGGTCATGAGCATTGGGTAATGTCAGTCTGTTTCTCTCCTAATGGAAATATATTAGCATCTGGTAGTAATGATAGGTCTATCCGGCTATGGAATGTCAAAACAGGATAATAAAAAGCCAAATTCGATGGTCATACTAGTGCAATCATGTCAGTATGTTTCTCTCCTGATGGATAAACATTAGCATCTGGTAGTAATGATAAGTCTATCCGTCTATGGGATGTCTAAACATAATAATAAAAAGCCAAATTAGATGGTCATAGTAATTGTATCAACTCAGTATGTTTTTCTCCTGATGGGAATACATTAGCTTCTGGTAGTTATGATAACTCTATCCGTCTATGGGATGTCAAAACAGGATAATAAAAAGTAAAATTGGATAGCCATACTCATTATGTCTACTCAGTCTGTTTTTCTTCTGATGGAAATATATTATTATCTGGCAGTAATGATAACTCAATCCGTCTATGGGATGTCAAAGCAGGAATATAAACAGCCAAATTGGATGGTCATAGCGATTATGTTAAATCAGTCTGTTTTTCTCCTGATGGAAATACATTAGCTTCTGGTAGCGATGATAAGTCTATCCGTCTATGGAATGTCAAAACAGGATAATAAAAAGCCAAATTGGATGGTTATAGTGGATATGTATATTCAGTCAATTTTTCTCCTATTGAAAATACATTAGCTTCTGGTAGTTATGATGACTCTATACGACTTTGGGATGTAAATATAGGAGAATAATAAGTTAAATTTGATGGTCATTTTAATGAAATTTTATCAGTATGTTTCTCTCCTGATGGAAATACGTTAGCCTCTTGTAGTTAGGATGATACTATCTGTTTTTTCGATGTAAAGACAGGATAAGAAATTAAATCTTTCGATAAAAATTATTAAATTATTCTCACTTAATTTAAAGCACTTTTTTAAAGTAACTCCCTACCAAGTATTTATTTTATATTTCTTAGTATCCACCAATATTACAACTCTACGAATATCTAAAACACCATTATTTTAAGCATAAGGAGCTTTAATCTTGAAAGGTCATTTTGTAAATTATGAAGGATACGATTTAAGAGAATTATTAAAATCAGAAGGAAGTTGCATTTAGAAGACTTATAGAAAAAGTGATTTTGATCATTATCAAACAACAATTATAATTACAATCAATATCTAATATTTTTTTTTAATTCTGTTTTTATTACTTTCACTCTTAATCTTCACTTCTAAAGCTAGGTAAGTTCTTATTTTTCAAAGCTTTTTTCCATTTTAGTTAATGCCTCTTCATTTATTTTTATACTATGAAAATATAAGATCAATTTAGTGTAAGGATTATTTATCTAAGCATCATAAAAAATGTTATCTAAATTTGCTTGATAGAGACTTAAATTTAAATGATACTACTTTAAATTAAATAATCTAAGCAGAGAACAATAAGCACAATGAAAAGATTAAAATAAAGATCGATATCATTACTTAATTAACACAACATTTTTTGTAAAACATCTAGGAATAATATGATAGATTTTCATTTATTATTATTTAGAATAGGGATTGATATTAAATTAATACATTAAAAATTTTGTAAAATTTAGTTTTTAATTCATAAATAGTAAAAGATATATTTTATCAAAAAGATAAGAAAAAAGATACATCAAGAATTTTTAAAAAAAAACAGTTAATCAAAGAATTAATCTAAATTACAAAAAAATTTAAAAGACTTAGATTGGATGATTTTTTAAATTATTTTTGGTAATATTTTCATAATCTTTCTTAATTTTTTGCAATTTTTTTAAAGCATTATATATTATAAAAGACTGGAAAGATAAATTAATCATCAAGAAGTATGATATCATTGTAATGATTAAGATTAAGCACATAATCATTATATCTTTCCTAACAACCATCTAATAATCTTAATTATTGATTAACATTAAGACTTCTTACATACATCCAAAAAAAGCAGCTTTCAAAAATATTTTTCAATATTAGAATTATATAATCATCATTAACTTCAAGATAATTTTAACTAAATTAATCAATATCTAAACAAAAATAATATCCCTCATCATATTTTAGCTTTTAAAACTGTATCTATTTTATGGACTCATCATTTAGTTCAATTTCTAATTAAATTTATTCATTATAAAATTAAGAAATTACTAAAAATGTATATTAAATAATTACCAAGATAAGTTTAGGTTTATACATAATGGATAATCTTGAAATAAAGCTATTTTTCATTAATAAAAAAATGCTCCAACATTATCTATTTGGATAATAAATCGATAAAACTTACAAAATATATGAAAAAAGCATTATATGAATAATATTTATTAATAGGTGCATTGAAATATATGTGTATTTTCTTTTAGATTTCAAAATAATTTTTCACAAATATACAATTTTTTATTAATAATTATAAGAGCTTAAACAAATGAAATTCAAATAAATGAAGTGGTGAATCAAAAAGTAAAAAATCTATTTTTATTATTATCTTGGATGGTGATGGCTTCTCAGGCCGTCAGTAATTGGGTCAGATATGCATCATGCCTAGTAGATAAGGGATATCCTACCGAGAGACCTAGAAGCGAATTTCATAATTAGCTAACACAGCCAGAATTAAAAATTTTCAACTAAGAGATTTTAAATATACTACAACTAAATATCAGAAGTAAGTAATGAGACTCAATTATTGAAACAAACTTCTAATAAGGGAGGGACTACAAACTATATAAAACAATCTAGCCCACATTCTAACACACATGAAAATAATTGAATGATTTAATAA